GATCTGTCTCAACCACGGCGTGGCTGTACACTGTCACCTAATGGAGGGATTTCTACTGACTTTGGGTCACAGGAGTACAATAATAATTCTACTCATATGACCCAAAAGAGAAGTAAAGCCAAAACAAGGTTTGGCATTATTCATCTTTAAAGAAAAAGACCAACGTCCAAGATGCAATAACCCATAGCAGTTAATAAAAAACCTTTAATCCTTCTAAACCTTTTTTTTTCCCCAATAACAATATTTAAAAGATCAGTCCACATGAAAGCAATATTTCAAAAAGTTTAATAAATAAAATAACATACAAAGAACAAGTCTGAAACATGGAAATAAGACTTATCTAAAAGAGTCCAAATGTGAACATAACAAAAGCAGCAAGTAGGGAGCTAGTCAGATGCACAGAACATAAAGGCGGGAGGTCACTCTAAAAATGTTCAGCTTCAGAAGAACCCAGGGTTTTAGTAATATTGCAGTTGGGTTTATAACTATCCCCCAATAAAATGGGTCTTCAAACCTCAAAGAGAAAAGAAGAAAAGGAAACATAAACAGGGATATTCACAAAAGGGTGAAGCGTTTGGAGAAGGCAGGAGAAGTGAACAATCTAGGACAACATAGCTGAACTGGAAAGTGAGCTGAATTGGAGAATTTTTCCAAATCAGATATGTTGTTCTAGATTGTTAACTGCTTCTGCCTTCTCCAAACTCTTCATCCTCATGTGAAAAACCATAAATGTCTTGGGGGGAATAAGGTATGTGTTCCCAACTGAATGATATAGGGGAAGCATTAAGGTAGATGTGAAGTACAAAGGTGGAAGACGAGAAATAAAAGAATAAAAAGGGGAAGAGACGCACAGAGAAAGAAAAAGAGAGAGAAGAGGAAAAGAGTTATAAGATGAGAGTCTTGGAAAAGACAACCATTCCACAGTATAAAAGAAAACTAAATGGATAGCAAAGCAGGATCAAATTCAGGAGGTAGGGAGTATGAGATCCTGGGTTGCCAAATTTGTGGAAATTTATTGTAAATGTCATTCAAAATAGCTGTTCACTTCTCATTAGTCATGATCACTGACACTCTATTTTGAACTGCCTCAAAACTCAAAGTAGGGGTTTTTCAAGATTTGGCTGTAACTAATAAAAGATGTTGAAAACTAGCCTGAATTTCGACTTAAATGTATGGTGATGGGCTTGTTGGGAAGTTCATTCATATTGACCTTCCCGGATATTTATGTGAAAAATGAACCGATGAGGTTATAGACCTGAATCCACAGGCAATCGTTTTGAACCTTTTATCGTTCTCTAAACCCATGGAAGGTAATAACTGGTTTGTTGCTATCAGCCAGTACATGTCCTATCTATTCCATACTCCTGTGTGTTACGTGTGTGTTACATACATTTTACCAGGAATTATTGTCACGACTGCTTTAGTGGCAATTGGGGTTCACAACTGCGGAGTGTAGCATGCGTTTGGTGGTTGGAGACGGCTTCTCAGGTTCGAGTCCCAGGCGTCACTCCCAATCTTAAACGGGGAGTTTGGGACTCTAGCATCACAGCCGTATGTAACCAAAAAGAAATGCAGAACCATTGCGTCATAGCCTAATATCAATAAATGAGATTGGATGATACGTTTTGTAGTGATACAGGTAGTAATCCGATAATAAACCACTGATATGCCAGGGAGTTCCCCTTTAAGGACAGTTCAGGTAATCAATACAGTCTCAATAAACTACTGATATGCAGGGAGTTCCCCTTTAAGGACAGTTCAGGTATTTTATACAGTCTCTGGTTTTAGGCTTCCCCTGAGGGATACTTGCGTTTGGGAGCTTCTGGTCTGTAACCAAGCAGCAGGTCCTTGTGATGGTCTAGGGGGAGTCCTTCCCAGGCAGGGTAGATAGAGGCAGAGATGGTCCAGGGGGAGTCCTTCCCAGGCAGGGTAGATAGAGGCAGAGGTGCAGGTTGTAGGGTTCAGCGTCAATGAGGCAGCAGGCGTTCTGACTCCAATAGTTGAACGCCATACTGCCTCAGCTGGGGCTTTAAATAGCCCAGGAGTGAGGGAGGAGTCGATTGCCGTGACAACCGGCTTCCGCGTTCCACCGTGGAACGCAGGCCGCTCGCACCGCAATCCGGAAGTCGAGCGGCTTCCGCGTTCCACCGTGGAACGCAACTTGGCCGTTCCTGCATGTGGGGAGACCCGAGCGGTCTGAACCCTCGGGACTCGTTACAATTATGTTGTCAGAAAACATTACAACAGGGCTCCATAGACAGGAAGCTTTTGTGTTGAGTGCCTGTCCACCGTGGAACGCAGGCCGCTCGCACCGCAATCCGGAAGTCGAGCGGCTTCCGCGTTCCACCGTGGAACGCAATTTGGCCGTCCCTGCATGTGGGGAGACCCGAGCGGTCTGAACCCTCGGGACTCGTTACAGTTATGTTGTCAGAAAACATTACAACAGGGCTCCATAGACAGGAAGCTTTTGTGTTGAGTGCCTGTCAATGCATTTTTACTTGTATCCCTTCCAGAGAATTTCTTGTGACATATTTCCACTCACCTGCCCAGCAGGAGCTGTGCTTAGACTCCGCTAGCTATGTATGTCTTATGGAAAATAAAGACAATTTCCCCCGTTACGGCTATTTCAATCCTTGTCTCGTATTTATAGGAAATTAATCTTTAGGAACGTTGACCTTCTGCTTGGATTGTTGTGATTCCATCATGTACTGTGTATTTTAATTTAGATTCTCTTTTTCCTATGTCAGCGGCACACATTTCCCATGCCGGTGCTAATCCCCACACGTTTATAAACACTTGATGTGGAAGTGGAGAGATGGAAGGCGCTGACATCTCTTTGTGTCTGGGTCCTCTTCATTATCTCTTCGATCAGGTGTCATGTATTGGGGTTAGGCTGAAGATAGGAATTCTATGAGCCCGCCGAGTGGCACTTTCAGCTTCCCTTCTACTTTATTAAGAAGATTCCCCGGAGTGCGACCTTTAGCAGTTTATACTGGTTATTTGGGGTCAGGCAGAAGAAGTGGGCAGGCTGGCTGTCCTTTTAGACCTGCCGTATTTACGTAAATTATTGGTAAAGCTAGAGTATACAATTATGTCAGCAGCACTGATCTTTAGGATCAGGATATATTACAGTATATTTAATTGTCTTCCCAAAGTAGATGTTCAAGAGGCATGATAGAAAAGAGTCTATGGACTGTGTAAGGTAAGGAAACAGGGTTGCCTAAATGTCAAACCCCTCTCTTACCTCATGTTTAGTTAGCTAATTTGTATTGAGATTGTAGTCCATCACAGGAGTGAGCTTGGAGCAGTGACTACTTTACAACACACACAGGACCATGGAGAACAAAAATAGCCCCCGTCCAGAAGGAAGGACAGTGTCAGCACTAATTCAGAGATGATTTGAGGATCTACAGCCGAGTGATACACAAATAAGATACATTTATGTTAATAGTTAAAGTACTTGAATGTATTTTTAAGATTGAACTCCTGTGTATAGTGTCACTTTAAAAGCCCTGATAGTTTCAGGTATCACTCAGGAACATTATTGATGAAAATCCTCAGAGTTCTCAATTCTGCACGCCTACTGTGCCCATGATGAGAATCTCCCACTATCCCCGCTGAATTCTTATTTATTAATTTTTTTGGAAAATATAATGTGAGGAGCTGGGACACACAAAGGAGGGTGGGAACACCCAGATCTTATTCAGGGAAAATAAACAGTCAGAAACGATGGCTGCAAGATCTTCCTAATGTAGCCTTCAAGACAAATAGGGCCTTTCTCAGGCCACTAGGCCCCACTTACAACTAAAATATTACTTTGGGTGGACTGATCCTTTGAGGGTAACTCCAATTGAAAAAATTAAAATAAAAAATTGAAAAAGATTAATACAGCATATGTAATTGTCGCACAAGCCATGTTCTAATTCACTATTATTAAAAATGACCTTTTAATTTAAAACTGCAGCCACTGTAATGTTCTAGATCTGTCAAAATAATTCAATGCAATACGGCGCCCTGGAGGCGCACTGTACACAGTTGGTGTACAGAACTCCCCCAGAAATGTCACTTCCTGCTTCTGTGATTGGCTGACTGATTTTCCCTGAAGTCTGCACTAAGATACAAATAGAATTTTTGGCATGCCTTGCAAAAGGAATTTCATTTTTGGTGAGATACCCCCTAAGCATTAGTTACTACTAAAGGAATGCCGACACTGCACCTTTCCTCATTACAACACAGGAAGTCCACCAGCTCATTATAATAAACCCAGACCCTCCCATACAGGGATCAGTTTGGAAAGGACATGCTGCAACAAACAGCTTTATCTGCACAACAGAAACAGGTAGGAAACTGCAACAAGGTTTGTTAAAATCCTTCCAGTGTACACAGATCACCCAGAGTGGACTGATTTAGTCTCTCATCAAAAGTGGAATTACTCTTTAAATATTCCTGTTGAAAATCTATGATGTATTGTACTTATGCTGCAGGTTAAACATGTGAATTTGAGTCATTTGATTAATATTTTAATGAATTATTTCAATAGAGACAGCTGGAGGGAATACAAGCTGCAAAGACTTTATTTTATCTGGATATGCAGAGACATCCAGGCTTTCCTCTGGTTCGCCGATTTACTGTGCGCGCTACACAAAAAGGTAAAAAAAAGCAATTTAATGTTTGTCAGTAGAGATACTTTCCTCTATTCTCTTCCTATGTGAAAGCTGGGTTTATTGGATCCAATTACTTTACCCCGCTTTCCGCGGCAGCGACCATATATATTTCTTGGGTCCTTTTCATTCTCTTCCTCTGTTACACGCTCTCATTGTGTTCGACCCCACTGTATACAGCCATCTTTGAAATTCTATTCTTGTTTACACTTCGCAACAATGTTCGCTGTTATTATCACAGGGCTATTGTGCGGTCCTGTGACATGGCAATCCTGTTCAAGTCAAAGGTGTTCAGTGGATTCTGTATTGTGTATCACAAAGCGTCTGTATGGAGGTAGAAGGAGGTAGATAAGTCACTCTGAAGGAGAACTTCATTCAGAGCAAGAACAGGCAGTGAATGTACTGTATATAGTATAATGTGCACTTGTTTTATATTGTAACCATGGTTCCTCATCTGTTTCTGGTTTCTATATAAAGCTTAACTCCAGCTTTTCCTTCCGTCCTGCACAGTTATATAGGCTCCTGTACTCAAAATGGCTCACTCTGATTTCGCTTCTCACAATTTGCATTAGAAGCTGCAGTAAGTCAGATAGAGCCTGCCTTTATTTTCTGGCTGGAGGACATCCAGCATTATCTAGCACTTTCCTCACCAGCCTTATGGCCTCTGGCCCACCCCTTCCATTAATTAGATCTGAGTACTTTCAATTATGGAGGCTCAGTGTCCCATATGGGAGGTACATAATGTAGTCTGGTAGGAACCAGAGGCATATCTACAACAAATGATGTCCCTGGAGTCCCACAGAGACAGCTGACTTTTTTTTCTCTCTCCCCACCCCTCTCTCATACAAAATAATAAAGTCACTGGCACTCAAGTGTTCAAGTCAATATGTTTATTGACCCAAGTGAAAACACCTCTAGTAAAGTTTCGGTACCATGCGGCCCCTTCCTCAGGCAAACAGAGAGTTTCGGGACCATGGGGCCCCTTCCTCAGGCAAACAGAGAGTTTGACTCTCTGTTTGCCTGGGGAAGGGGCCGCATGGTCCTGAAACGTTGCTAGAGGTGTTTTCACTTGGGTCAATAAACTTATTGACTTGAACACTTGGAGTGCCGGTGACTTTATTATTTTGTACATTTTTGACGGAGGCATCCGTTGTTGCTGCTGCACCCGCCCTGCTGCATGGGCATTTTCCGGTCAGGAGTGCGATGGGATACTTGGACTTTTCCTCCTTCATACACATCTTATTGCCCAGATCTTAGCAACCAGGGACACTATGGCCGGTGTCCCACCCAGCTCCAAGCAACCAATTGTCAGGGATACCGGCACAGGTGACCCCACACCTGCGCAGGTACCCACACAGGCAGACCAAACACTTATGACCACACCGGACAGGGCAGAATGTTATATATACAGTTTAATCAACAGCAAACTAAACAACACCCAAAAGCAAACATAAATAAGTAACATCACCCCGACTACTAGCAGGTAAAGGCAACAGGGGGACAAGCAGGTAATGGCAACAGGAGGAAAGGCAGGTAATGGCAACAAGAGGACAAGCAGGTAATGGCAACAAGAGGAAAGGAAGGTCTGCAAATGGGTAACCGGGCTCGGGACACAAACAAGGTACAGGACTGGTAACAGGACTCTGGACGGAAAGCAGGATTCTCCGGAACTGGGGACTCAGGGTTCAAGTTTCAGGAAACAGGAAATGATACTGAGCCATCATCCTGACTGCAGGGAGGGTTTAAAGATCCTCCCAGGAAGCACCAGGTGATGGCTAATTACTGGCAGCTGGGAAACACCCGCAGGTGAGCACTGGAGCTGCAGGTCTCAGCTCCTGCGCCACCTAGAGGCGCTCTGGATCCTAACACCAATGATGCACTGGTTGCCAGCAGCTGGGTGGAATGCAGGCCAGAGTGTCTCAGGTTGCTAAGAGCTGGGTGGGGAGATTGAAACGTTGCTAGAGGTGTTTTCACTTGGGTCAATAAACTTATTGACTTGAACACTTGGAGTGCCGGTGACTTTATTATTTTGTACATTTTTGACGGAGGCATCCGTTGTTGCTGCTGCACCCGCCCTGCTGCATGGGCATTTTCCGGTCAGGAGTGCGATGGGATACTTGGACTTTTCCTCCTTCATACACATCTTATTGCCCAGATCTTAGCAACCAGGGACACTATGGCCGGTGTCCCACCCAGCTCCAAGCAACCAATTGTCAGGGATACCGGCACAGGTGACCCCACACCTGCGCAGGTACCCACACAGGCAGACCAAACACTTATGACCACACCGGACAGGGCAGAATGTTATATATACAGTTTAATCAACAGCAAACTAAACAACACCCAAAAGCAAACATAAATAAGTAACATCACCCCGACTACTAGCAGGTAAAGGCAACAGGGGGACAAGCAGGTAATGGCAACAGGAGGAAAGGCAGGTAATGGCAACAAGAGGACAAGCAGGTAATGGCAACAAGAGGAAAGGAAGGTCTGCAAATGGGTAACCGGGCTCGGGACACAAACAAGGTACAGGACTGGTAACAGGACTCTGGACGGAAAGCAGGATTCTCCGGAACTGGGGACTCAGGGTTCAAGTTTCAGGAAACAGGAAATGATACTGAGCCATCATCCTGACTGCAGGGAGGGTTTAAAGATCCTCCCAGGAAGCACCAGGTGATGGCTAATTACTGGCAGCTGGGAAACACCCGCAGGTGAGCACTGGAGCTGCAGGTCTCAGCTCCTGCGCCACCTAGAGGCGCTCTGGATCCTAACACCAATGATGCACTGGTTGCCAGCAGCTGGGTGGAATGCAGGCCAGAGTGTCTCAGGTTGCTAAGAGCTGGGTGGGGAGATATGTAAGGGCCATACACGTCTCCCTGTGAGGCTCTTAGCAAACCTGGAATGCTCTGGCCGGCATCTCGTCTGCATACACATCTCCCCGATCACTCTGGTTGCTAAGAGCTTGGAACGGAGATGTATATGGCCCTTACACATCGCCCCGACCAGCTCTTAGCAACCAGAGACACTCTGGGTGGCGTCCCATGCCGGCCAGAGCATCCCTGGTTGTTAAGAGCCGGATGGGGAGATTTGTATGGGAGAGGGCTGGGAGGAGGAAAAAAGTCAGCTGTCTCTGTGGTTGGCAAACTTTTGCTGACCCAGTGGTGCTCAGGGCATTTGCCATATGTGCCATACCCTGGATACACCACTGCTAGGATCACCCACTTCTCCAGGCTAACATCCACCCATCAAGGCATTTTGATATTTTCATAACTCTTCCCAAGTGCCAGCCCACTGCTTATATCAGCAAGCTATGTAGCACCACTATATAGCACCCTGTTGACTCCTCCAACCAGCCATGCACTTGCATTGCACAGAAGCCCAGTGGTGTCACTAGGTCAAAACTAAGGTATGGAATACAAATTAAAAGGTTTTATTTTCAAACTTTATCAGCATGTTGATAAGGGAGGGTCAAATGCTTATTGTCCTCTAGTCTAGTGTATATACACTTTCACTTACCTGATCCCCGCTCCTGTGCTTGCAGTCACTTCCCCCCCTCTGCTCTGGCAATTAGAGGCTGACGTCAACATGTCTAATTCAGGGCCCTTATCCCTGCATCATATGTAAGGATGTGGAGGGGCAGTTCACAAGCCGGAGTGCAGGGAAGACAAGGAGAGCACCGACTGCTGGGGGAGTGGGGATTAGGTAAGTAAAAGTCTTTTACACAGGTCCCCTAGACAAAAATGAGCAGTTAACACTTTCAGTGGGAAGCCTCATTGAAAGGGTAGTTTTTTTTTTTATCTAGAGATAAGCTTTAAAAAAAGTGACACAAAAATTAAAGTCCAACTACAGCTAACAGTTTAAGGCCTAGTTTACAGATGCACCAGTCTCTGAAAAGTGATCTACGATGGATCGCATATCAGAGGGTGATAGAGAATCGTCTGCCTGGCATTCGGGGGGTGATACTGCTGTATTTTTAATTTTATTTTAAAGGGAGATTTATAATGCATTTGCCACAGAGTTGCGGCTCAGTCCCATTACCTCTATGGTTGTGGTTGCAGCTCCTTCCCATTAACCTCTGTGGGTGTGGTCATGACTCTGTCCCATTAACTTCCATGGTTGTGGCTCGATCCCATTAAACTCTTTGGGTGCGGTTGCAGCTCGGTCCCTTTAGCCTCAATGGCTTGGTTACGGCTCATTCCCATTACATTCAATGGGACCAAGCTGCAACCGAGACCATAAATGTCTGTGGATGCGGCTTAGTCCCTTTAAAATCTATGGGCACGGTTGCAACTTAGACTAACTAACTTAAAGCGCTGCGCAAACTGCTGGTGCTATATAAATCCTGTATAATAATAATATAACATAGATAAGTTTATTAACCTCTATGGTCTTGGTTGTGGTTTGGTTCCATTAAATCCTATTGGTGCGGTTGTGGCTCGGGGCCTTTAACCTCTATGGGTGTGGTTGCAGCTCAGTCCTATTAACCTCCGTGGTTGTGGCTGCAGCTCAGTCCTATTAACCTCCATTATTGCGGCTGCAGCTTGGTCTCATTAACCTCTTAGGTCGCGGTTGCAGCTCAGTTACATTAACCTTTATGATCGCGGTTGTGGCCCGGTCCCACTAAACTTTATGTGTGTTATTGTGGTTCGGTTCCATTAACCTCTATGGTTGCTGTTACGGCTCTGTCCCATTAAACTCTATGGTTGCGCTTGCGGTTTGGTACCTTTAAACGTTATGGGCCTGGTTGCAGCTTGGTCCCATTAACCTCTATGGTCGTGACTGTGGCTCAGTCTCATTAACCTCTTTGGTCACAGTTGCAACTTGGTCCCATTAAACTCTATGGCTGCTGTTGTATCTTGGTTCCATGAACCTCTATGGATGTGGTTCTGGCTCAGTCCCATTAGCCCAAAAGGGACATGCTGTATAATATTTGCCAATGTGTATAGCACTGTCCAGCTGCAATGCTGACTTTGCATCACAAGTGGCCAGGACCTGTTAAAAACATGGAACAGCAGCTATTGTTTAACACCCCTCGGCTGCACGTGTAAACCAGGCCTTGAAGCAATAAATCAACTGTTTTTTTTTTCTTGTGACATAAAACAGGAATTTATATACTGAATTTGATCATTACAGAGATTAACCCCGTACAGTTACAACATTACAACATTTTTCTTTATAAAGGGACTTTAAAGAATCTATTGTGTTTAATAGGTGATGTGCCCATTCCATTGCCAGCTGTTGATCTGAAAATCTCCCATTGGGTTGAACAGCTTGTACAGGAATAATAGAACAAAACAGAGAGTGAATGCTATTTAGAAAGTGTATAATCCCAGTGATCTGCGTTACAGAATGTTATGGTGTGTTTAATATGAGCAGAACAATGCAGATACATTGAGTTCTAAACCTCTAGAGAAGTGCTTGAAAAGCAAGGCCATCTCACAGTAGCGGCTGCAGATACACTATATGACTATATGTACTGCCGCTTCTCCTATGGCAGACATCCTATGCATGGAAAAAACATGATTTATTCAGGAGCCAAGAGTCAATGCTTATTAGCATTGACTGTATTCTGCCCTAGAACACAACAATGCATTCATGGCAACCATTATTCAGTAATTATTCTTTCAATAACCAATAAAAGTCAACAGAAATCATGCATGCATCATATCCAGTTTTTCCCAACCTGTACCCACCCTTTAAGTTATAAATCATCCTCTAGCAGCCAGTGGCCTAACCAGGGTATTGCACATATGGCACATACCCTGGCCACCACTTGAAGGAGGTGGGCACCGCTCCATGGGTCAGAGAAAATTTGACGACCCTTAGAGACAGCTGACTTTTTTTCTCTCCCCAGCCCCCTCCCATTCACATTTTCCTGCTTCGCTCTTAGCAACCGGGGACGCTCAGGCCAACATCCTGTCCAGCTCCTGGCAACCATTAACATCAATGGTTGCCAAGAGCTGGACGGGACACCAAACAGACACACCAGGTTGCTAAGAGGCCGGTGGGGAGATGTGTATGGCCCTTACACATCTCCCCACCCAGCTGTTTGTAACCTGGGATACTCTGGCTGGTGTCCCACCCAGCTCCTGGCAACCAATGATGTCACTGTTTGCCAGGAGCTGAGTGAGATGCCAGGGGTGCAATTTGTTGTACATGCACCACTGCCAGCAGCTCAGGGTAAGTTTTAGGCATTTTGTGGATGGGGAGGGCACTGGTGCATGAGATTGTGTGTAACAGTGGCTTATGTATGAAATGCGTACCTGCACTACAGAGATGATCAACGGAGGCTGATTGGGTACTACTTCTAGTAATCAGCCCTTGCTGTTTACTCATGTTCATTATAAATTGACACAATATTGACTTTATTTCATGTGTTTTTGTCTACATAAGCTTTGGCAAGAAAACCGTCCTGACTACATGAACATCAGGCTGTACCTCAGTGAGGGGGATGGGATTCAGGTAAGAGGCCTAAAGTCATTCAATTATATGTTATGTATGTGCTTAAAGGACATGTCCATCCATAACTGTATGACTAATTATGGTAGACTCTGGCAAGATTGGTCATATGACCACTTGTTATAGCTCATTTCCAGCTTTTTATTTTTATAGTTCACACCAGCCACAGTGTGTTTCAGCCCGATTCACACTGGATTGCATTGCGGCAGGCTCACTTTGTTGTGGGGTGGGGGGGGGGCGTGACGGTGCATTGAAGTGAATGGCACCGCAGCCACACCCTCTGGCCGCAATGCGATCGGCCGCACGGGTAGGCAAGGCACATCAATGCCTGCGGTCCGGTCACGACTGGACTGGAAGTGTATGGAACGCAGGTCAGAACATTGCAACAAAATTCATTTGTGTTGCATATGTTGTGTTGCATGACCACATTTGCCACTCATGGCTGACCGTAATTGTCAGTCAAACTATCATAGCACTGAAAATTGGCCTTCTAATGAAGTGATATAAAGACTGGCTGGTACTCAAGTGGTTAAACACGCCCCGTGTGTTGGTGAGCTGCAGCGCGTCCGTATAAGAAAAGAAAGACTATGACTTCTCACGGGCCGAGTTCAGGACTTGCAGTAAGCCAGCTTTTAGTTCACATCAGTATTCCTGAGCTCCGCCCGGCACGCTACCAAAGTCATTATTAGCTGGTGACTCCCCCGCTGTGCTTACACTTTTTAAAGACGGAAAGCACACGCTCAGCAGTGATACAAAAGATGCTGTTATCAGAGCATTACACAATGTGTAATCCCCTCGTTCACAAATTCTTACGGAAACCCACTGTGCCGTTTCTTGCAGAAAATAATTGGTGAAAAATACCAGGCTTTGAACTCCCGTCTTATTACCGGACGCCCGCGCTGGAAACTTTTGTTTGATGAGATAGCCAAATCTAACAGACAGTAAGTACCATCCAGAGGTATTGGCGGGTAATCAGCAGAGATGGGAATTGCCACGTGTGTTTTTAGACCTACTTAATAGCTATTTGTTTGCAGCCTTGCGAAGGCTTTATCTAATAAACCAAAAGCCGGAGCTGGTAATGTCACATGTAATTCCCTATGCAATGTTTTCCCAGCTTTCAGAAGAACACGGCCGTCACAAATCCTTTTTCAGTTTGTGAAGCCGTAGGGGCTCATATTACCGGGGGAAAAAAAAAAAGCTTACATCTGGGTTAAAATGTTAAATATTATGCTGAACTCGGTTGTATAAATAAGTGAAGCATAAAGCATTTATTTGCAGTAGAGACACTTGGTCATTGCTTTGGTTAAAGGAGGACTATGAGGCGAGTGAAAAACACTCAGCCTCATAGTTCGAGCCGATGTGTGACAATGAAACTTTCACACGTCTGCTCAATAGATCGGGATGTGACCGAACGCATACGGTCGCTCGCTCACTTCTCAATCATCTCCCTGCAGGGAGCGGTGACTGTCAGTCACGGCTCCCCGCAGGGATTCCCCGCTCCTCCGGCGCATGGCCAGCTGTCATTCACGCAGTTTGGTGGATCTCGACTGTAATGTCGGGTTCCGTCCAGGCTGCGGCGGTCTCAGTATACTGTGAGCTGTAGCTCGCGATATACTGAGCTTTGGGTCACGGGAGGACGCTTGTATATGTCCTTGACCCTTAAGAGTACTATGGGGAAAAACAATTACCCCATAGTTCTCTTTTAAATCCTGTTTTGATGTGTTTATGCATTTTTACAGACAGATGTAGCATAATCTTAAGAAAGTTATTAGTTTTCCAGACAAAAAAAAAAAGTATAAATACAGCACAACTTTATATAAAGTGCCCTTTATCAGCACACAAGATTTCTAGCATGATCAACAGGTCTTTTTTTTTTACTTATGAAAGAGATATATCAAAATGTTTTCAGTGGTATCCAGACCAAAAGGTAACAAATAGGAGAAGTTAAATGAGAGGGTTTACAGATACTTTAAAGAAGGATCTGCAAGGGTTAAGAGTTTTTCTTGTCAATTGGAGCTAAAATCACAGTGTTATAGTCACCCGAACCATGAACTCAGCTTGCTCCTAGACCGATCCCTTCTGCTTGCCTTCTCCTCCACTCCAGCGGAGTCATCACATTCTATACAGTGTATAGGATGTGAGGAAGCTGATGGAGCGGAGGAGACAGGTTGCAGAAATCGATAAGAGCAAGCCAGGATCATGTCCTTAGTATATCAATAGGTACAACATTATGCCTGGTTCTTCCCATCTGAGATAAAGGATATCTGTACTATTGATATAGATAATTTTATATGCAAACTCACCCTAACAACAACACACATTGACAATATGGCTGCTGTAAACCCACCCTTTTATAGTAAGGAGGCTGGATTATCCATTGCATCAGATTATTGGCCCTTATAACTCAGCTGACCAGGGGTAAAGGATATGTCCTGTATTATGGGGCGTCTCTTATTATGGGTAGAGAACCTGCAAAGTTTTCAGCCAAATGTTTGCGAACCCCGAAGATTTTCAATGAACCCAAGGAATCGGCAAACCTGAACCTTATGTGGAAATACCCTTTCTGAACTTTAATGCAACTAGCTTAGATAGAGATAGATAGATAGATAGATAGATAGATAGATAGAGGGTCTTCCCTATATTGAGGCAGCCCGAGGTGGTTGCCTCAGACAGCATCCCATTGGGTCATGTAGAGCGGGCTGCAGGTGTGCCTGCCGCCCCCTGACAGGCCAGAGCATCTCAGGCTGCTAAGAGCACTAAGCAACCTCTGACACTTTGTCCGGCGTCCCGCCCAGCTCACTGACATCACTGATTGCCAGGAGCTGAGCTGGATGCTCTGGCTCGTAGTCTGCCCAGCTCCTGGCAATCAGTGATGTCAGGGACAGGATGCCGATCAGAGCCAGAGCAAAAAGTACTGTGCATCACCTGGGCCACCACCATCAACCCCCCCATGAAAATGTCCACCACAAGCACCAACTACCCAACCTTTTGCACCCCCGTAACACGCACCACCAGCACTCCCTTGAGTTAGGCAGCAAAACCTGCAGGGACACCCCTGGATAGATAGATAGATAGATAGATAGATAGATAGATAGATAGATAGATAGATAGATAATATGCCTTATGATCAGCGTGTCTCCAGGACCCGAATGGTTTACACAGAAGTCATATTCTAAAGAGGAACAATCCTTTTTGTAAATCTTTGTAAATCAGACTAGGGGAATGTATAGTAACTCCGGTGTCTTCCTGCCCATGCATTAACCATGGCAAAATCCCCAGAAAGCATAATTAGTTTACTGCGTGTTGCCGTGGAGTTCCATGATGTTATCAAGGCAGCTCAGCAGGTCACCAGTGCCCCTTCCCAGAATATCCTCCCTTACTGATTACAGGCAGTGTGAAATGCATTATATCCCCATGTATAGTCTTCTATACCGCTGTGCAGTGATTTGTCAGCTGCTGCTAAACCCCCAAATGTATGACGAATCGGATACATCCAAGTATAATATACATTTATTTATAACTGTACCGGTACTCATGTATTATTTGAGTTTAATGCATACCTAATACAAGTGATCTACTGAGTGCGTGGTATAATTATCCTGTTTACCAGTTTTCAGATCTTCCTTGTATCCGAAATTGGAGCATTTTTTTTAACAAGCATTAAATTGTGCTTCCAAATGTAAAGTGGTTTATGTGTAAATGTTTCCAATCGCTCCTTAAGCTCCTGTAATGTTGGGGAGCTCACAGAGCACTTGCACAGGCTTTTCCATTAACAAAAAGTCTTTATTTTCTTTCAAAAGGCAGACAGTAAAGGAAGTCCAACATAAATAGCTTGCTGCAGCATATAACATATATGGACTCACCAATCCTCGAGTTGTCCCCGTCATGTAACAGTTTTCTCTTGCTGCTCCGGCCTCAATCCTCAGGGCCACTGTCTGTCACCTCCAGACAACCCCAGTAACGTGCTAACCCGCACAATAGGTTTCACGAACCCGCAGCTCCCTGGTGCACTGGCCTTCACTCTGACTCCTGCGTGGAGTTCTCCTGACTCACAGGTGGGGCCCTGAACAAATCCCAGCACACTCTTCATGAGGGATGTGCACAGGTGCACAATTAGGTGCTGGTCACTACTAACCCACAGACCCAAGACTGGAGATTTCGTCCCACCCAGAGCTCTAAGAAATCTCCAGGCTCCAGGATCCAAACTAGGATCCAAAAAACAAAGAACGGGCGGAAAAGGCAGTTCTCTCCTGGTACAAGTAATTTCTTCCAGGAGCCACTCAGGCCCTCTGGCTGAGAATCCTGGGTCACTTTGAGGCCACATAACACAGTGGTATTGCCACGCAATGCCACACTCCTGATAGTAAAAGATAAAGATGTACCGCAGGAGACAGATTTTCATGTTATCACTTATTGTATTTTAGCCCCCTCCAATGTGCGTCTATCAATATGGTGGTTGGGCAGCGCAAACATCTCACTGGTCATTATGTTACATCTTATATGATAAGTTAAGTCAGTGTTAGTCCCCGTTCACAGCTAGACATACTGAGAACACATATCACATTCATGCACATTATTTTCCAGCTTTTTCTGCACATTGAGTTCAATGAGTGCCGCATGTGCGACAAACGTGGAAAATAATAAATGTTTTCTAACATAACGTAGGGAGAACAGGTTTTTTTTCAAAAAAAATTTAATTATATAGTAAAAAATAAAACCCCCCAGTGGTGATTAAATGTCACCAAAATAAATCTATATCTGTCCCCAAAAAATGGTATAACATTCATTTCAGTACAGCGTTGCATGTAGGAATAAATGTCAGTCAAAATACCACAGCGCTGAATACCGAAAAATGGCCTGGCCAAGAAGGGGGTTTAACACCCCGGTCAGCAAGTGGTGAATATATCTATAAGAACTCAATATCCAGTAATATTCTGTGCATTTTCACATCTTCACATGTTCTAGGTTTAATTTGCTTCAACTACCTAATGGGGTGCCCTTGTACCACCAGGTCCCGTAGCAGCCGGCGTGGCTGCAATGGCTATAGTTACGTCATTGGTATACACTCAGCCATATCAGAGTCATTATTTATTCTCTTAATTTCCAGGAAATCGGTGGGAGTGTTTTGCTGCGGCCCAAAGGGACTCTCCAAGGACCTTCACAAAATGTGCAATCGTCCAAACAGTTACGGGACACGTTTTGAATACAACAAAGAGTCCTTCAGCTGAGATCAAATAAACGGCGGGGGGAAGACCAAGTGCAATTAACACCAACCAAAGAATCTTAATCATTAGAGAGACGCAAATCACTACGATTGACTCTTATCCATGTTGCAGCTATTTAATGAAGGGATTACTGCCTACAAAACAATGTTAATTGTGGCTTGTTCTATGCACTGTGTTTTTGTAAAAAATACTTGACATCCACTGAGAAAAAAGACCTCATTATACGGAAATATCTCATGAAAATGAGGTTGTCTGAGAGGGCATTTTGGGGTTTCTACGGCACTTTTTATGTATATTTTATACTGATAGGGAGATTTATTAATTACATTCTTATGCCAACCTATTTAAATATTTACTTTAATTCTATGCAATTGCCTCATATTTTTTCAGTGGTGCTTAAAAGGCGACTAAATGGGCATTCGCATACCCATTTAGTCAGCAGACTTGTTTTTGTTATTGGCCAACTGCGGTCAGGTGATGTGCACCAAGATTCACATCCTCCTTTCTGTAATATACAAAGAAGAAGAATAGAGGAAATCATTGCTTGTATGAATATGTAATTTTGCCAGGGAAGAGACCAAGGACAATGATCAAAAAGTATCATTATTTATCGGGGGATTGCAATCCATAACAAGCTTTATTCTAAGATGGCAGATGGACATTTATAAAGGATTGAATATTTCAAATACACATATGATTCAAATATCATTTAGGTGCCGCTCTTATCTTGGATACCATGGGACAGATCAGTTGGAATGGGCAGCAGTGAGTATGCTAAATGGGTTGAGCCAATCTGAATACACAATTTGACTAGCTTGTGATCTTTATTTGACTGTGTAATGAGTATGCCAAACATAAAATGAAACATTAAAAATCACATTAAAAAAATGAAAGTACCAATGATATTCAATGGGCCTTTTTAGGTGCCACGTCACAATGAAATTGGGTTCTCCTACCTCCAAGTATTTAGTGCAATGGTGGCAATTGGTTGTAAGTTTCTATTCAACAGTTTTGTGACCATTACTTACCTACTGTACATGCGTGTTATAGGCCACCTCCAAGCATATCTTTCTGGCACTCCACTTTTTCTACCTATCAGCATGCTCCTTGTCTAAGCTGATCAGCTCCTTGTGCTGCTTCTCCACCAGTCTGAAAGGACTGCAAGAGGTTGACACCAAGTCAAATTCACTGCTTGCATTTATATAATATATATGTGTGTATGTGTGTATATATATATATATATATATATATGTATATTGAAGACATTACAATACAATTCAAGACAAGATGGTAAGGAGGGCCCTGTCCCTGAGGGCTTACAATCTAAAAGGGAGGGCCAAGTGATACATGAGGAGGTAACTGTGCAGGGATGAATTGTTTCATAACGTGATAGTTCAGTGGTTAGGTTGAGGTGGGATAGGCTTCCCTGAAGAGATTAGTCTTATGGGATTGCCTAAAGGCAGTCAGAGTGGGAGATAGAAGGACAGGTTTGGGTAAAGAGTTCCAGAGGATGGGAGAGACTCTAGAGAAGTCCCAGAGGCAAGCATGAGGGGGTGAGTTGTGGAATAGAACGATATATTTGAGTGTCATCGGCATAGAGAGGGTGTTGGAAGCCATGTGAGGTTATTAATATAATGGTGTATTAATAAATACAGAACGGTATTATATCGACTTGCGTTCAGCTTTAAGTACGTAAACAGACTAGCAAACGCGGTGTGCTTTGAGGTGCATTCAGCTTGCATTGTAATCAGTTTAAGATGCTCCTTAGATCTTTCAGAGTTCCTTCACAGGTGCCTTTGAGTCCTGACCTCCTTCCAAGCTGCATCAAGCTGCCTTTGCATTTTTATTGACTTGTATTGGAAGAAAGGCAGTTCAGAAGCAATAAAAACTCTTTCTGTCTGATCTCAAACATGGAACAACCTTCAGCTCAGCGATAGAAGTGAAAGAGCTGAGGGTGGTAAATCACTGAAAAACCTGTGTTTCCTGGGCAGTCTGTTGACCAGCAACAAAGGTGTACATGGTTCCCTTTTAATACGTGCTCTGGTGTTGTAGTGAATACAGAATTACACACAATGGCTCTGAGTTATATAGCTAATGATCATAAAAGTATGACTAGTAACAAGAACTCTCCAGCTCGGGTTTATCTTATTGCCTCTGACATTAAGCTGCTTTTGTAGCTACTGTACTATGCACAACATGCACTAAGAAAATGTCCTTACCCGCTGTAAACATTAAATCCCTGACATTTGGTTTAGGAAATTCACGAGCTAACTCCAGTTATTGTACCGTCTGTATATCGCCACTTGCAGATTACATTCTCCGGCAAGGTCTCTAGGCAATTCTTTATCGATCCTGCAACTTCCAGCTAATTACCAGTAATCAACAGCCTCTGAAATCCAGTTGTATACCATTGACTTTTTTTTTTAGCCCACTTATGAATCTTCCGTTGTTGTTTTTTTTTTTTTTTCTTAGCATATATGTTTTCCCTCATTGCATCACCGGTAAAGCAGATATTTTCCAATCCCTACAAATTCCCGTTCTGCTATATATCACTTCCCTGCTCATTACTTATGCTATAAATACTCCGCAATCTTGGGAGAATTAATTCAGTTGAAACAACTCATTGATTGCTGAGTTTTAAAACCCACATCACATAGCATAGTTTATGTTTTTCAACCACCAGAGCTTAGGAAAGCTGGAATAAAACATGAAAATCACAATTTAAGAAGCCATTTAATGGAAACAGGACATAGCCTGGGGGCACTGGCTAATCATGCATCCTAGATTCCCCTTGTGGCGTAAGACATTGTCTAAGTTCAGAAAATATGATCTGTATGTGAATAAAGCTGTTAATTCTAACTCCATGTATGGCCAACAGAGGACTGGGAACATTTGGCTTGGGAGGCAACCACAACCGCCTGACCCTTTCATAGTAGGGACAGTTTTCTGTTTCCGTTTCGGAAAGATTTGTTATTTGGACGAATTTTCGTTATTCGGAGATTAGGATGTATCCAAATCTCCGAATGACAGAAATGACGAATGAAAACAAGAAAGAAAATTTCGGACGAACTTTGTTAGTGGTAGTTTGTATGGATTTTTGTCCCAGACAAATTTTCGTTGCAGCAAAGTGACATTAGACATAAGGAAACATTTTTTGAACAGAAAAAAAAGCGTGAGGTTCCCTCCCAATTGATACCAGCCCCGTTAGGTCTGGTAGGAATGTTAGGAGGGACCCCCCAAGTTAAAAATAAAAAAAAACATGTGGGGTTCCTCCAAAAACAAATTCTAGGCCCTTTAGGTCTGGTGGGAATTTTAAGGGGGTACTCCACCCCCCATAAATGGGAAAATAAAAACTAAAATTAGTACCAGACCTTTGATCCGAGCACAGGCCTGGCAGGGCAGGAAAGGGTGGGGCGATCGAGCACCCCCTCCCCCATCCTGTGCCTTACCAGGCCACGTGCCCTTGGCATTGGGAGGTTGTCCCCATGCCGATGGGGACAAGGGTCTCTTCCCCACAACCAGTTAGGTTGTGGGGGTCTGCAGGCAGGGGGGCTTATTTGCATCGGGGTACCCCTTTAATTAAGGGTCACCAAGATGCGGCCCCCCACCCTTGTGAATGAGTAAGGGGTACTTGTACCCCTACTCATCCAATAAAGGGTTAAAAGTGAATGTTAATAAAGAAACCACACTTTTAGATCCAATGCCATCATCACAAATAATCCTTACACCCTCTTTTAATAAAAAAAGCACAAGATATATCACAATCTGTGCATTCTTCCAGTACTGACTCCCTTTTCTGTTCTCTGGCTTTAGTTATATCACAAGGAAAGTTGAATCTAGACCTCCCTCTACCATGCTCGGTGATTGAAGGTCTAAATAGGAGCAGAAAGCTACATAATAAAACAAAACGTAAGGTAGTACAGAAAGTAAGGTAATGTATGAATCGTTAGTGGTGCCTGAAAGAATTTTCAAATATTGGAAAGATTATTAGGAAGAGTATCAAGCCTTTCTGCTTCCAGTGGTAGGGGATAATTCACAATTCAATTCAAAAAGAGAGAGTACACACAGACCTTGTATGTTTATAAGATGCATTTATTCTAATAAAACCAATAATGTACATACAACTAGCGCTTTAAGAACGGCCCCAAGGTTGTCTGTCACCAGCAGCAAGGATGGGGAACAGATTATCAGGCTGTCTTAAAACCTCGGCAGGAACGAAAGCACCAGCTCCACGCTGGAAATGAGTAGCGTCCTTAGGAGAACCTGCAGCCAAGAAAACCAGTTACCATCGCAAAATTTCATCCTCATTGGACACATTGGTGTAATTTTCTTTGATTGGCCAAGTGTAACTAGATCTTCACACCTATATTCCGTTGATGTTCCTTGTACCATGTGACCATCAATGGAGTCTTCAGACTTTTCACCTGTGAAAGCTTCAGAGTGGATAGTGGATTCTAGAAATGTTGGTACTCTCAGTTTCGGCTCACTTCACTTCAGATTGGTTATTCACTCGGCTGCCCTCGGCAGCTTCGTGAATAGACCCCATGGTGTGTCCTAAAAATGAGCTCAAGTTATGTGGTAATACTGCAGTTCCTCCCCGTCAGATGTATATAAGAACAGACATCAAGCTGCCTGATGCAACCATTCAATGTCCATTGAGGATCGAAGTTTGTGAGGATGTCTGGTTTTCTTGGCTGCATATTGTTGTAAATTATGATTAAAGTAGATATATTAGGGGTATATTTATGGTGTATGCTTTATGTATGGAAGGAAATTCTTTGTCTGATGTTATTTAACACACCTATCCTAACTAGGTTTTTATTGTGTAAGTTTCTTGACCAGGTGACCATACTGTTTTGTTGATTGTACACAATGGAACAGCTGTATGGAATTTTGCCAAATTTGTTTAACTAACATCAAAGGGGTAATTAGACCAGCCAATCATAAATAATTTCAGTGTTAGTGAATGGCACTAAACTGCTGATTAATTCTGAGCCTAAAGCTGCCCATACACTGCACGATTCTCGTACGAAAATCGCGGGAAATCTCGCGATCGTACGAGAATCGTGCAGTGTATGGAAGGTGTGCGACCGTTCCTACTGTACGGTCGCACAACTTTTGTATTTCAAGCATGTTGGAAAACCAGCCGAGAACCGTACGATTTTCAGCTGGTTTTTAACATGATCGAGAGACAACTGGCGAACGGGCCGGTGTGCGCGGCACAC